CTGATCACARCAAGGTAACCTCTGCTCAGGGGTCTATAAATGCTCAACGGGGGCTACAGAATCACATATGAAAACCCAGATTGTGCCGTTGTTCCTTCTGTTTGCACAATGTGTTTTGTCTCTTTGCTCATCCTTACAGCTGTAGCCAAAAAATGTTTGTTTTTACTTAAAGAACTCTTTTAAGAGATTATTAGAAATTGATAACATCTTGTGTAGCATGTCATTTGCTTCAGTGAATCTTGAAATGTCTCTTAGAACTAAATATATTTATCTCGTTTCCCATTTTTGTTGTTTTTTTTCAGTGATGAGTAAAACTGTGTAGGAAGAGTTTTACTTGGGTGTTTTAAACACTGCATTAGCTTCGGCAGATGTGTCATGCAGTGAGCTGCAGAGCAACATTTGGAAAGCCACCTTCAGAAGTGAAGTGTGAAGATTTTGCTTTGCTTTTTTTTCACCAAAGGTACTAATTTTTGTTTTAATCTAAACAGTAACATTTCTGTTTTACGAACCAGTAGAAAAAAAGTGCTTTTGGAAAATGAATCTATAACTGGAATACATTTTTCAACATTTCTCCCAAGTTGATTTAAAATAATCGATTTGATTGGGATGATATTATCAATGTTTTCGATGAATTTCCACGGATGCCTCTAGCTGCCTGCAGCAAAAACATAAAAACCTCAAGGAGTTCTAATATTTACAATTCTTTCTTTCTTTCTTTATTTGTGTGATTTGGGATTGATGAACACTCGTGTTGAGGCTGACAGGATTGTTTTCTCTGCGCCACCTCAGATGGTGTAGACGTTATGCAACCAGATCTCGTCCTTCATTTGATTGGCATTTCTAGGACACAAATCAGAAATGTTAGGAGACTCTACTTCTGTTGCAAGTGACAAGCTTCAATCTATCTATACCCATCGATCTGTCTACCCATCTTTCTGAGTCCCCCACTCTGGTGTCTAAGCACGCACCGCATTGCGCATGCGCAAAGGAGAGAAACTCGCCACGGGAAGCGCTGAATGAACTCTTTAACTAATGGAAAGCCACTCTCCAATTCTAATTCATTGTCTTTGGAGAATTAACGAGCATTGTCTCTTTTTATTTCGAAAGCGTAATGAATATGTGAGCGCCTCTGCCCCCCTCCACCTCCTCCTCCTCCTCCTCCTCCTCCCTCAGGGTTGTAGCTAGTGGAGGTGGGAGGAGGAGAGGAGACCCCAGACCTGTGAAAGCTGGCCCGGGGGGGTTCGCAGGTGAAAAGTTAGGTTGCTGAATCACGCCATTCATGCCAAGGCTGTAACAAATGTTGCTCTTTGTTGACGGTTGTTTAAAAAAAAAAGAAAAAGAAAAAAACGGTCAGATGCTCAGTTTAAAGCTGAGGCTTTAATTAGGGATGTGATTGCCGGCGGTGAAAGTTTATCTTACAGTAAAATAAAAAATAAAAATAAAAAAAAAACAGCGTTACTCATTCTTCAGTGATGCTTAGCTCCATGATTCATACCCCCTGTTCTTGGGGTGGTGATGATGGGGGGGTCTTCTACATCGCCTGTTTGGAGAGAGGACAGAGGAGYGGTCATTAAAGGAGGGGATGACAATAGCTCGTTTGCGCATTC